AGCAAGGAGTGTCAGAATTGGAAAGGAGCCTACTGTTACGCACATGCAGTGTTTTATTTAGTTGCCTTTTTTTCTCTTAACATTCAGTTGTGTCTGGGGTAAGAAAGAGGAGATTTATTCTTCAAATCCAGGCCATCACTAGCATTTGTTTGTTAAAACAAGTTCACTTTTGGAATAATAAATATATTAACCCTAGGTATAATAGTGTGCTGATAAAAACGTTTATCAACTGGCTTTTCAACTGTAATTACAATATAAGTATTGTCTGATTTTTAAAAATTAATGAGCGAGACAAAAATGAAACAAGACAGACATATATTGATATATCACTTGTTTATCAATGACATGAGTTTGTTTGTTGTTTTTTGCTTTTTTGAGACAGAGTTTTGCTCTTGTTGTCCAGGCTGGAGTGCAGTGGCGTAATCTCAGCTCACTTCAGCCTCCACCTCCTGGGTTTAAGCACTTGTTCTTCCTCAGCCTCCTGAGTAGCTGGGACTGCAGGCGTATGCCACCATGACAGGCTAATTTTTGTATTTTTAGTAGAGACAGGGTTTCACTGCGTTGGCCAGGCTGGTCTCAAACTACTGGCCTCAGGTGATCCACCCACCTCAGCTTCCCAAAGTGCTGGGATTACAGGTGTGAGCCACTGCACCCAGCAATCACACTTAATTTTTAACCTTTGCTGATTTCATTACAGTAGGCAGCTAGTCAGACTTGAACAAGGCAGGAGAGGGTTCCCCTCAGCAACCCAGAAAGTGTCAGATGACCATCAGGTGATGATCAGGCAGTTGTTAACTGTCTCTCTAAAATAATAATTGGTCACAGCCAGTGCCCGGGAAAGGCAGTCTCCCAGTAGATAGAAAACACATGAAACTAGTGATCAGCCACTTCCTCTTAAGATCTCAGGAAGTTGGGAGAGTTGGCTCAAGCATGAACATTAGAAACAAAATGACGGAGTTTAACTGGTATATGACCTTCCCTTAGGAACATTCTACTAGTAAGGGAAGAAAGCTGCAAGGGACCATGCCTAGAACTCCAGTAAACACACTGCACATGCTCCCCTCCCAACTTCTAGCAGGCCGCTGCACACGTGGACAGCTCAAGAAAAGAATCAGGACAGCAGTAACCCAAGACCCCAGAAGTATGCAACATATAAGTCAAAAAGTCAAACCAGGCACTTGTCTTTCAAGTGGCCCACTGGGCCCCCTTCCAAGTATACTTTACTTCCTTTTGTTCCTGCTCTAAAGCTTTTTAATAAACTTTCATTTCTGCTCTAAGACTTGGCTGGGTTTCTCCTTCTGCCTTCTAGGTGGAATTCTTCTGAGGAGGCAAGAACTGAAGTTGCTGCAGACCCGTTTTGATACAGATTCACTGCTCGTAACCATTTCTATGTTGTAAATACTTTTAACATTGTCAATTTCAAGTTACCCAAGGTGTGGTCTCTAAATGCTCTTTGGGGTAACAAAGAAATCCTGTTATCTTCTTAGTACATGAAGGCTCAAGTTGGTAAATGAAAATATTAAGTCCATCGTGTTAATCAATACTTTATGTAAATTGAAAGAATTTTCCCCCACTCTCTCAGTAGGACCAGGTGCAAATGGGCTATTTCCTACCTAGAAAAAAAGTGGAAGTATAGTCAACTTCTCTCATTCTTACTGACCTCCCACACTTAAATAACTGCTTGGTTGTTATTTAATAATACCAGTCTTGGTTGACTGGTATTATTGTAAAAAGGATTTGTGATCTCTGAGCCTAAGAGATGTTGAAACATATTTCTTTTTTATGAATGCATTGATAGATCCTTAGCAGCTCTATTAGCAACAATAGACAAAGAATATACCTTTTAGCTGGTTTTATGTGGTGCTTGTCCACACTTGATTGGTTTGTTTGTTTTCTGTTTGCCTGATTTGGCAATGCACTCACGCAGACTGTTGTGGGTTGAGGGGTCTCATCAGGATTTATAACAGCTCCAAACTGACTCTCTTTCCCACATAGCCCTCCTCTCTTCCATGGAAAACACATGTACCTATTTTTATCTAGACAAACATTGAAAATGAAATTCAATTTCAACACAACACTAACTCTCCCTTGCTCTGGAAAACCCATTGTTTATCCTCTGGATAAACCAACAGAAATCAGATACCATCCTGTAAGGGGGGCGGGGGAGGGGAGGAGGCGGGCCAAAAAGCTCTCATCTTCCTCCCAGTTCCAAGAGGTTCTTGGCCTCTCTTATCCGGAAGAATGGGAAAAGGAGCCCCAGGAGGCACCATGAGTTTGCCATTTGAATAAATATCGTGGACCCAAAGAGTTTTGCAGAAAAGTGATTTATTAGACACAGAAAGAGAAAGACAGCTCCCACGCTGCCATGGGAGGGGATCCAGAGAAGGAATCCATATACCATGGAGCAGCGGGATTTTAACCCTTGAGTTATTCCCGTCCCATTTATGTTCTTGTCCAGTGAGAGAAGTTCTTTCAAACTTCCTCTTGAGTGATTGATCTTTGACTCTGATACTGGATTGGCTACTTGGTCCACAACTCTGAGTTACAGCCCCCTCCTCGCAGAGCTTTTGGAGAGTTTTTTGAGGCAAAGGAGCTTCACCAGGATTTCTATAGCTAGGGAACGTGGGAAACCCAAAGAACTTTACATTTCCTGATGGAGGCGTGGAGCTGGGAAACTCCTTACTTTGAAACTGTGGCCCTCGAGGACCCAGGAAGAGAAGTTTTTCTTTAACACAGTCCCTCAATCCCATTCTGCTAGCCTCACTGTTGGCAACACACAGCAAGCTCTTCAAGGTGCCTATGGAAGTCCCTATTACCATAGTTAAGCTGAGGAGCCAACAAAACACCACTTTTTCTTGGGTAAAGAGTGTGTGTGTGTGTGTGTGTGTGTGTGTGTGTGTAAAGATAGTACCAAAACAGCTTCTTCCAAGCAGATCTTACACACAACGTCCTCTACTACTTTCAACTTTCTTTACTTTTTATATCATTACAGTGCTTTCAAGAGATTTTGGCCACTTTCTTTGTAAATTCTGCATATAATCTAGTACCTACTTCAGAAGGTAGCATCTGTTAGATCTTGGTACTTTGAACAAAATTTGCATTTCAGCCAGTTATTACACTATGGCTGTGCCAGTTATTACACTATGGATGTAGAGAATATACTGGGATTTTCCCAACATTCTATCAAAGCTGTTTTCATATCCTAAATTGACACAAAGAAAAATTTATACACACACACATATATTGATAGATATCACACATGTCATATTCATTATATTTAAAATTAGAAAACAATTTTATAATAAAATGTGAAATCAAATACTTCTGTAATCCATCTTCCAGGAAAATCTACTCTGAATATTTTATTTTGCTCTGTTTACAGTAATAGACTCTCTTTCTTTGCCCTTAAATATCTCAGTTCTCTGCCCCTACCTTCCTTACTTTATACATGGTAGTCTAATTCCCCATCAGCAAATACGACCTTTTATTTTAATTTTAATGGCAGCATGTGTTCCATTTTATGAATATATTAATTTTCCCTTCACTCATTCTCTAGCATTGATATTTGGGTGTGGTTTGTGTTTCTATGTTAAACTTCACCACCGCGAACAAATCGTATGTGTACATTTATATTGATATATTTATTTCCGGCAACCACAATAATCCTGCCTCTTTTGGCGTGCATTTGCATTTTAATAGGTATTAAGCCTTAAGCCAAAGGCACACATTTCTAAAATAGAAATTCAAGTATCAGTTAGTGAGAAAGGAATATATTTGGGGGACATATTATTCCTTTCTGTTTCTCAAGAAATCTTAGTAATGAGACAATTGCTTGCAACTGCTTACTCATAAATCTGAGTCAAATTATATGTGTTATTCATATGATAAGCCCCCTTAATTATTAATATTTTGGCAAACAATCTAAAACCAAGCATCTTTTTAAATAAAAATATCTATTTGCAGTGATCCACAGCAATTCTAAATTCTTATGTAAAATTTATTTAAACTTCTCACATCTGCTAAATTAGGTTAGCAATCTTACCTAGCAGTCTCTCCCTGCATTACATTGATTCATTCTCCTGGATTATTCTAAAAATTGTTATCTGCCAGAGGATTATGGAATAAACTAGTAAAAATGAGGAACAAAATGGAGGTGATGCACTAGATGTACGTTTTTCAATGTCTGTTCAGGCTTAAGGAAAGTATGCAGGTTCTTTTAAATTACTTATATCAGGTATTTTATCATATCATCCTTTCTAAATCTGAGGATGTTCTACGCATTTTAGAGTAATGCCATGATAATGTAGAACTCAAGTGCTTTTGTTTTTCTGGAATTGCACATTACAATAAGTGATTTGCATAAGAAATGATCTGCATTCTAAATGTAGATGATTTAAGGAAAGTGGCTGCGCTAAGAACATCAAGCCAGAATTCTACTCTTATCTCTTAGTTACCTTCACATTTAGTAACATACTACAGATTATAACTACTTTAAGACTAAAAATGTGAAGCTTTAGAAAGTAATGTTCTAGACCGTTCAGTAAAATGCACAATATTGTAAAATGCATTTTATTGTCAAAGGTTGAGGATTTTTAAATTAAACTTAATAAAAATGTAACCTCTTTAAAATGGATAAAATTTCATTTTTCTCTCGAGTAAGATTGCTTCCATAGGTGGTTAGTTTAAAACAATGTAAATAAATAAAACAAACCAACAGCAACAGTGAATAAAAGTTTAATTTCAACGATTTCTGTAATTTGCAAAAGATGATAAATCCCCAGTGACTTGTGCAGAAAAAAAATTCAGGTCAAGACAACTTTTAAAAACCTGTTAATTGCATACCATTTAGAGAAGTAGTATTTTACTTAATATTTGCGATAACTAAAAGGAACTCCTTGGCATAAACCTTTTAAATTATTGGAGAGAAAGAAATAGTGATTCTGTGCCTTTAATTTCCCTTTCTGAGCAAGGGAAGGCTGCACAGCACTGACAGGCTCACTTGTTCCCGTCTTTAATGTGCAATCTGTTTTCTCCAGCGGAGGGCACTCAGTGTATCACAAACTCAAGCATTAGCACCAACAAGCTCTGAGCATCATCAGTCTCTGGAAAGCCTTCTGAATTAGACAAGGGCTGCCTCTCAGCACAGCTACAAAACACTTTAAACCTGACCAGCTAAATGGATAAACCTAGCCTGCATAGCTTTTAAACTGGGGTCTCATACAGCACAGGAGGCCTACTTGCTTCAAGAACTGAAAATCCAGAGGATGAATTGCTTTATCTGGGAATGGCAAAAGCCAGCACAATAAGGAATGCCAGGTATTCTGAAGATTTTCTTTTTTTCCTCTCTTTTTACAGAGAAGTTGGTTACCTCCGAGATGGGCTGTAGCTCTTTTGCACAGATTGCCAATTACTGCTGATGGGTCTCTGGTGAATTACACAATGGTCCTCAGAGCCTAGAGGCCCTCCCCCCTCCCTATCCCCTCAACGGCTTCCTTTTCCTTGCCCACCCCCCACCCACCATCCCACCCTGTGCTGATTTTTTTGATATATATGTGTATATATATATATATATTTATTTTTTTTGCCTGTCCTCTCGGGGAAGTTTGTATGGGGCTACTAGCTCACATGCGGGATCAGAATGGTGTGAATGACAGCCGCACTGTGTCATGAAGGTGGTGGTGGTTTCAGCACGAGAGACTAAATAAGAAGAAAGCTGAGAAAGGGGGGAAACGTTTTTGGATGACAAAGGATGGGTAAGTGAACTTTTGTTGTTTCCTTCTTAGCAAAGCTGATCCTCTTGGCTTCCTATCCTCAGTCCTGGCATTAGCAGATAAAAGACGGAGAAACAGGCAAAGAGCAGCAGCCTTTGAGTTTGCCAGTTGATTCACTATAGTTGCTATTATATTTTTAGATCATTTTCCCTTTTGCAGTGTTTTTTTAAATCTATAAATGCACAACACGAACTTAAACAGTCTCTAGAGAAATATCTTTAAGACGGTCTCTACTGTCTGCTTATCCACAGCTTGGGAATTGAGCATGAGATAAATATTGTGTTTGCTTCTATTTCTTGATAAAATTAGCTAGGCTTGTATTTCTGGTAGCTGACAGGATGATTATTAACACTTTGCTGCGTGTGTGTAGGGGTGGGGTCCTTACTTTATCAGAGGTTGCACAGGGCTTGTTTTGTCTTTGTAGCTGGATCCCTAACACAGCTTCCGAATTTCCAGCAGTCATTTGCCAGTCTTATTTTTTCAAGTGTGACTGGCTTTTCCTCCCCCCTTTCTCCTGTCTGGGAGAGCTAGAATGTATTTCAATGAGTCTGTAGCTGGCAAGAGGACAGAGAGCAAGATCGGGTTTTAAATTTAAAAAAAAAAAAAAAAACAACTTAACTGCTTGAGAAGAAGGATGGGTTTGAGATTAGGAATTTGGCTGATTGCCTCTTGGTTAAAAATATAAAAATTTAAAGAAAAAAAACTGCAGCACATGGTAGTTGTTTCTTTTCTCCATTAAGAAATAATAAATCTACAGTTGACAGAGGAAAGAAGTCCTTTAACATGCAATGACTTGGAAATGCAGTGTAAGTGCCAATAGATTGTAACTTTGCAGGCTTTCTGAAGTTAATGGAGGTAGGGGAAAAAAAAGTCAGTGAGAAATGTGAACAGGTCAGGGTGATGTAGAGAAAAATAGTAGTTCGCTGCTTCTTTCCTTGTTTATCCTTCAAATTTGCAAAAGCAACTATGTATAAAATAATGACAAAGTAATACTATGCAATATTATTTTGCTTTTTAGGCAAATATTTAATAAAAATTTTGACAGTCTTAACTTTGGAATGTTCTCCGTTATGAGTGTTTAGATGTTTTAACTCCTGTGTCATTGGGCAGGGAGCCACAGTATGCAACAGTCTATGCTTATTAACAAATTTAGAGCACCTCATACTGTTATTAGTCTTCATCCAATGCTTCATTGGCTGGCTATACTAGTCTCAATGCTGTTTTTTCAGAGCTCATATATTGCCATCCCATTATGCAATAAGCACACAATTTCAGGCAGGGCAAACTTGGGTTACCTTGACAGCTTACCGAAGCTCTTTTGCCATATCACAGCCTGTTTGCTCATCTAGGAAAGACGTACAAGTACCGGGTTTACTAAGTCACATTTTTGCGCTTACCAGAGTATGTAGTATACTTCCTTTTCGTACTGTTGTTCAATACAGTGGTTAGCTAAATATTATTGTTACTAAAATGTCAGCATTCAGTAATGAGAAAGGCTCTGTGCTTTTCAATGTTGAAATAAGTAGGAACTCCTAAAACTCAAAAAGGCTTTTCTTAGTTCTATGGGACTGTGGTGATTTGAAGACCAAGGAAGAAAAGTGAAACCTAAACAGCAAACATGCAACACTGAAGAAAATAATGCTTGAAATGTTGATGCATTTTCCTTAAGCAACTGTCCCATTCCTACACTAGAGGAAATGCCCCTGATATTGGTAAACCGATGGTGATTTATTTTAATAGCTTCACAATGTGCATCTGTCTTCTTTTTAATATCGTAGGTTTCCATTTAATTACGCAGCTGAAAGGCATGAGTGTGGCGCTGGTGCTACTTCCTACACTGCTGCTTGTTATGCTCACGGGGGCTCAGAGAGCTTGCCCAAAGAACTGCAGATGCGATGGCAAAATTGTGTACTGTGAGTCTCATGCTTTTGCAGATATCCCCGAGAACATTTCTGGAGGGTCACAAGGCTTATCATTAAGGTTCAATAGCATTCAGAAACTCAAATCCAATCAGTTTGCCGGCCTTAACCAGCTTATATGGCTTTATCTTGACCATAATTACATTAGCTCAGTGGATGAAGATGCATTTCAAGGGATCCGTAGACTGAAAGAATTAATTTTAAGCTCCAACAAAATTACTTATCTGCACAATAAAACATTTCACCCAGTTCCCAATCTCCGAAATCTGGACCTCTCCTACAATAAACTTCAGACATTGCAATCTGAACAATTTAAAGGCCTTCGGAAACTCATCATTTTGCACTTGAGATCTAACTCACTAAAGACTGTGCCCATAAGAGTTTTTCAAGACTGTCGGAATCTTGATTTTTTGGATTTGGGTTACAATCGTCTTCGAAGCTTGTCCCGAAATGCATTTGCTGGCCTCTTGAAGTTAAAGGAGCTCCACTTGGAGCACAACCAGTTTTCCAAGATCAACTTTGCTCATTTTCCACGTCTCTTCAACCTCCGATCAATTTACTTACAATGGAACAGGATTCGCTCCATTAGCCAAGGCTTGACATGGACTTGGAGTTCCTTACACAACTTGGATTTATCAGGGAATGACATCCAAGGAATTGAGCCAGGCACATTTAAATGCCTCCCCAATTTACAAAAATTGAATTTGGATTCCAACAAGCTCACCAACATCTCACAGGAAACTGTCAATGCATGGATATCATTAATATCCATCACCTTGTCTGGAAATATGTGGGAATGCAGTCGGAGCATTTGTCCTTTATTTTATTGGCTTAAGAATTTCAAAGGAAATAAGGAAAGCACCATGATATGTGCAGGACCTAAGCACCTCCAGGGTGAAAAGGTTAGTGATGCAGTGGAAACATATAATATCTGTTCTGAAATCCAGGTGGTCAACACAGAAAGATCACACCTGGTGCCCCAAACGCCCCAGAAACCTCTGATTATCCCTAAACCTACCATCTTCAAACCTGATGCCACCCAACCCTCCTTTGAAACACCAAGCCCCTCCCCAGGGTTTCAGATTCCTGGCACAGAGCAAGAGTATGAGCATGTTTCATTTCACAAAATTATTGCAGGGAGTGTGGCTCTCTTTCTCTCAGTGGCCATGATCCTCTTGGTGATCTATGTGTCTTGGAAACGCTACCCAGCCAGCATGAAACAACTCCAGCAACACTCTCTTATGAAGAGGCGGCGGAAAAAGGCCAGAGAGTCTGAAAGACAAATGAATTCCCCTTTACAGGAGTATTATGTGGACTACAAGCCTACAAACTCTGAGACCATGGATATATCGGTTAATGGATCTGGGCCCTGCACATATACCATCTCTGGCTCCAGGGAATGTGAGGTATGAACCATGATCCTCCTAAAAGCATTTCTACTGCGGGGAAGGAGAGGTAAATGTTTGAAGCCCTAGAGGTGTCTCTAATCACTAGAAAGATTAATGACCCTTATGCTTTTGGGTTTTGCTCAGTGTGAAAGGTTACTTAATTAAATTACAACCACCAGGAAATTGACTGCTTTTTGTTGTTGTTGTTTAATGGTTGAAACTTGAAGGAAGTTCATTCAAGGATAAGTTGGAATAAAGCACTATGTTAAACACTAATTTTACAAATATTTAGTAGTTTACTTGTTTATTTGATATTATCTGGACTAGATTGTAATCTTTCTAAGTATGGATTACCATCTGCTTTTTAACAATTTGTATACAGGGGTTGGACTTAAAAACACGCAAACAAAACTCTTCGTTCTGAATTTCTGTCTGGTTCTTGGTGTTTGACTTTTGTAATGGAGTAAAGAAGAAGGGCCAGCTTAATTTAAAAAAAAAGTGAGTTTACCAAAATTCCAGAAGGTAATGAAGATTTAAACCAAAGAGCAATTTTCCCGAGGGTTGATTTTGTTGTAAATTTTTAGTTTTAATGAAAGCATGCAACAGGGATCTCACACCCATGTTACTTGCCATTTAGTTATTATACCAGCATAGAGAATGTCAGAGGCCTACTGTGTAATTGTATCAGGCTCCTAAGGCTCCTTTCTTTTTTTTTTTTTCTTCTTTCCTACTTGTTTTACTCCTTCCTTTCCTTCCTTTATCTTCCTCCTTCTTTATTTTTTCTTAATTACTGAGATACAGATCCTGTTTCAAAGGGTTTTATGCACTGGCTATTTGTGTGTAATCAGAATGAAGCTTCAATTCCATGTTAGGCTTTGTCCCTGATAACTAAAACCAGGTCATGATTTTGTGGATGATTTAGCAATAACAAAATGGTAGTTATAACAGGGATTGTTTGTCAGTATTGCTGTCATCCCCAAAAGAAATGATATGCATTCTTGTTAAACTTTTTCAAAATTGAGTGATACAAATATTTATAAATAAAAGGAGAGAGGCTGAGTTCTGGGTATCCTCCCTTTCTGTAACAGCCTCAAATGAAGGCATACCTTCCATGTTATATTATTTTTGTTTTTATAAGAATAAATTTGGACCCAGTTTCTGATTATTTAATTTTAAAGATCACTTACAGGAACATGTTAATGAGTAGAAAAATAGTCACAAGTTTTCAGCTTGCCTATAAGTAATACTGGATGTAAATTGTTCTTTTCTTGGTAAAGTTGATTATTATGTGAAAGACTGACTATCAAGGACTTGTTGCTAGAAAGAACTAGTGAACAGAGGTTAGAATTCTGGCAATATAATGTCTTAGTGTCTGACTTTAGATGATTATCCTTTCAAAGGAGAGTTTTAATGAGTAATTAAAGATGTTGCCCTTTCTAATGCTAGTTATAACCATTGGAAAATATAATTTGCTTTTTGATAGTATATATGCCAATTTTTCCATAGGCCTAACTGCAAATGCTAATGAAAATGTTTTCAGACAGAGCACTGAATTTGAAATAATCTCTAACTCAGTACAATTTGGACTATTGAACTGTTCTTCAAAGAGTTTATTTTCTCCTTTTTTGTGTATCATTGAAAATAAGAGAAGTAATCCCAGATAATAAATCCCTAAAAAGAAATTGTATAAGCAATTGCCCTTAAAAATTAAAGAGAATAAAAGATTTTCTATAAAAGTCTATCAAGGCTTGATGTTTTTATTGCAGGCCCACTTTTATACCGTATACTTGAATATTAGTAACGCAAGTTCATTCTGTTGTATTCTGCGTTCTCCCTATATTTTGTGATCCTCTGAAAGACTGTTAACATAAAAAGAAAAGAAAAATATAGATGCATTAATTCATTTTCTCTTAACTTTTGGAGTCGAATGCTGATTTTTATTTTTAAGAATCGCCAAGAAGAAAGAAACATTCTTAAAGAACTAGGAACTGAGAACCAAGGTTCTAAAACTTTTCCAGATATCTTAAATTTCACAGATTATTCCGTCAAAAACCCTAGGCATTACCATGATAGAAACAAGTTTAAAAGATGGTTCATTTAATTAAAAGGTGTGTTTAAAAACACATTTTGATATTGTGTGTGTTATATAGATTGACGCTTAATTTCATGAAATTGCACTAGTATTGTTGGAAATGAATGTGTTGTTAAGGCATTAAATTATGAAGAATGTAATTAAATATTGTAATAATTCTGTTGAGTCAAAATGGGATTCCTAACTAAAGTAGCTCAACCTTTCTGTGCCCTAAAACATGGAAAGAAGTAGGCTATACGTTTAGGATCATATATCCATTTAGGATGAGGAGGGGGTTGCTATAAAACTACATTTAAATGAATTTCAACTTGTTTTAACACAAAAACAAGCATTGCAGGGGTCACCCCGCTTTTTGACAGAATGGTGTATTACAGTTATAGGCATATATAAACAGTGAGGAAAAGCAAACACTTAGAAATTGTTATGGTGAAAACCCTAATTACTTCTTACTTCTTTGTCACTCGGAGTAAAATTTCTCCTGTTAAGAAATATTCCTTTGGACAAAACTTCTCTACAAAGTAAAGCCAAGAGAGGGCAGTGATTTGCCCAAGTTTACAGTGTTTTTGGAATAGTAAAGGTATGCTGAATTTTATCCTGACATTGTTTTCATAAATATAACATATCACTAGTTTAGCAAACAGATAACCATTAATATATTTATAAGACATTTTTGTGAGGTAGATTTTTTTAAGAAAAAAAATCAAAACACCAAACTCTACCCAATAAAGCCATAAATATTTAATTGCAAAATTTAGCACCATATGCTAATTTTCTAAGATAGTGCCTTGAAGAAATAAAAATTGCATTAAATTAAAAATTCTACTTTCTGCCTAACTTTACATTCAATTACCATGACCTAAATATGGTTATAATATCCATTTTGTTTTTTCTCTTGAGGAATTTTTTAAAAACATTGAGATTATTAAGGTGTTTGTGAGCCTTCATACAAATATAGTATGCAATTTTTAAATAAAATAATTTTGTCTCTGTTTTGCCAGTTTTAATTCTGAGAAGTCCATGTGCACATACCATACTGATAAAATGAGGAATAATATTTTAATAACGTGGGCAGTAAAAATTGCTCATATCTATAAAAAGAAATAGAGTAGATAGTTATGAATAATTAATATGATATATGACACAAGTATAAGGGGTACATACATCTCAATCATCATACTTTGAGTGGATCAGTGTGCTTGGTTGAACTGAATCATTTACTTTCTTCTAAATATGTACTCAGAAAAGAGAATTTAAAGCCAAAGGATACAGCTTTTCCTAAAACAGTAAAGTGTTACTATAAATACAGAAAATGCAAATATTTACTTTTAAAAATAGCTTGTGAAGGTTGGCATCATTTTATCTCATTAAAAAATATTACCAGGGCTATAAAGTTGCTTCATTCTGTGTATCAAATTTTTCCTTCGAAATTGTAAAGAACAAAGTTTTGCATATCTAGTTCTTCTAGGATTTGTATTATCAACTGAAAATAGCAAGGGTCTTTATATATTAGCCAATGTGAATACAGGACAAGAGAGAACATTTATAGTTTGGTTTGTACATTTAAAAAAATTAAATTGGTGAAAACTTGAATGAATGTAGTCTCTAAAGAGACTCCCTATCCAAAGTATTTTAATAGTTAAGTAATTGAAATATAAAGTTTAATGATCCCATAGTGCTAACAATGCAGCTGTTAGGAAAATGGCAGTAAAGGTGACAATAAAGGTGTGTTTTCCAAATATTTATTATTTTGATTACTCTCTTCAAAATTGAGCAAAATTTTAAAAACATACTGATTTTCAGTTCAGGGCTACATAATTTATTTCACTGTTATGCAGTGGGTGGTAGAGACCATTTTAACAACCTGTATTTATTAGCTATGTTAGATCAGGTTCAAATAATTGGTATAGACTACTAAATTCTTTTCACACTTTAGAGATTGATATTTTGCAATGTGCTAAATGAATTTCCAAGGACTACAAAGTGTAATGCATGTACAAAGAGGATCCTAAGGAAAGCAGACCCAGTTACTTTGAATTTAATTGTTAGTTTACCAACATAAAGCTATAGAAAACAAACCTCATTTAGGTGGCTGACTACAATTGTGTCATGGTAAAATGTTATGATTGAAACTGTATTTGTATATTCAAGTAGAATATTTGAGTGTGTGTATGTGAGTTTATGTATATGTGTATATATATGTGTGAGTATAGAGAGACAGAATATAAACTTTTTTCCATCATAATTAATGTCTATGAAAAGTAATTTAAATTATTAGTAACAAAAATTTTGGGTTAAAATTACCTTAAGATTTTTAATTTAGGAATATGGTTCTTAGGGTAAATGTATTATCACATCTAAAAATTATAAATATTGTCAGTCAGAGTAGCTCACGCCTATAATCCCAGTACTTTGGGAGGCCAAGGTGGGTGGATTACTTGAGGTCAAGAGTTTGAGACCAGTCTGGCCAACATGGTGAAACCCTGTCTGTACTGAAAGTACAAAAATTAGCCAATCGTGGTGGTTCATGCCTATAATCTCAGTTAATCGGGAGGTTGAGGCAGGAGAATCACTTGAATCCAGGATGTGGAGGTTGCAGTGCAGTATTGCGCTAACTGTACTCCTGCCTGGGTGACAGAGAAAGACTCTGCCTCAAAATAAATAAATAAATAAAAATACAAATTATAAGTATCTTACATCTACATAGCCTGAAATTCTTTTTTAGAAAAACAAAACATAGTCAAGTCTGTATTTATGCTACATACTGCCATTTTTGTGTGACTTTAGACTAGTCACTTCATTTCTCTGTGACACATCACTCAAATGAGTGACTCAGCTAGCACAGTGTTTCCCAACACAAAGCAATTCTCAGATTAGCATAAAATTTGTAAAATCTCTGTGGTCATTCTCAGAACTAAAAAAGCAAAATAAGCTATGGAGAAAAAGACTGAGCTATTTACATTCATTTCTCAATGAGAAAAGAAAGAGCTTTGGTTGGTAAAACCTGGGGTGCTCAGGTGAACAGCCATACAATTTCTTTATGCTTGAGAGGAAAATATGTAAAGCACACATACAAACATGTGAGCACATGAGTGCGCACCCCCACAAACATATGTCTTTGAAATCCTGCGAAGTAACTAGATATTTTGGAAGCACTTTAAACTATGTCTGCTTTTTAAAAAATCGATTGTCTGAATTACATTCAATTAAAATCTATTTGTGAATAGAGTTTTCATTAGAATTCACAAATGGTAGTGGTGAAGAGTGACAGCTGCCAAAAAAGACCCAACACAGCTAATTTAGGAAAGATTTTAAACTGACAATAAATGGCCCATTTTTTTTTCCTAGAATTAGCTGGTATCAGCATCTCATGGACAGGGTTTTAATAAATAAATGACTGCTGTCTAAGACTCCAAGCTGAGAAGTCTATGGTGTTAGGAATGTGTAGCTTTTGAGACACCTCAGTAATCTCCACAGGATACCAGAATTTCCTTCTTGAGACTTTTCTATATTTATAAAATGTAATCATCCCTAGTTCTTCTCAGGAATTGCATTTAGAGGTAGTTTTATGCTTTAGAAGTTGCTCAGTAATATTTTCACTGAGGACTTGGTGACTCATCTGAATTTTCGTGTCTCTAGAGTTTCATGATTCACTAAATCAAAGTGAAGCAGAAGCAACCTGTATATTACTAGACACTGAGAGTTTTGAAAAACTAGTATGTCTTTTGATCAGTGAGAAGCATGAAGTGATGTTGAATATGTTTTAAAAATTAAAATTGCTTTTTATAGTACCAGAAGAACCATCATTCATTGAGTCAGTTTAATAAAATCTCAATATTCATAAAAGGAAAAGAAATTACAGGGCTATTTTTCTCATGCACTCCATAAGCCATTAAAATAGTAACTGTAAGGAAAGGTTGAGGGAAAAAAAAGCACAGTATTTCTTAAGGTATCAAAGCAATTGGCTTTTTAGATAAGCATCTGCTAGAAGCTGCTAGATATGTGCAAAGGCTATGTTTTTAAACTCCTGCTAAAGAGTTTAAAAATAATGCTTTCACTGCCAAGAGAAATTAAAGTCTAAACAAACATAACCAGGGAAAATTAGTCCTTTACAAGTAAGGCCAGATAATGTGGTATACTTGTAGTCCCAGCTACTTGTGAGGCTGAGGTAGGAAGATCGCTTAAGGCCGAAAGTTTGAGATTGTCCTGAGCTATGTTTGAGCCTATGAATAGCCTCTGTGCTCCAACCTGTGCAAACTGAGATACTGTCTCTAAAACATACAAATAAAAAAATGTGAAAGGTAAGACCTTAAGTTTACTTACGTAAGGTTTTTAAATATAAGTTTGGAGAATGAAATGACAGCAAAGTCATTTAGTTTAAGGTCATAAAGTTTGACCTTAAGTCAAATCTATATATTGTAATATTTTTAAACATAAGTTTGGAGAATGAAATGACAGCAAAGGTGATGCATATTAGTAAAATATTTAAAAATGGTAAAAATGTAAGAAATTCAGAAAAATTATGAAGAAACATGATTAAAACGAAAACCCTGAACACAAATTAAAATATTAGTATATTTTATTACCATGTACAAACAATACTAAATACCATAATCTCATTATGTATTTGCTTAAAATAAATAAGCAAATACATATTTGCTTAAAATAAATAAGCAAATACATAACTCAATAAGGTTATGATATTTAGAATTATTGTTTTTACAGGGAAATAAAATATATTTTAACGTTATATAAATGATATGAAATATAAATATCAAAGTAACTGAAATGTTTCATTTAAACAGCTATATACACAATTAAACACTCATGTATCTTCTATATATATAATTCTAATATTCTAACATATATATTGAATACAGATGGTAGAATAGTATGCTTTGCTTTTCAATAAACATAGCTTTGTGCTAACTTCTCCAGCTTATATGAATTGTCTCAAAAGTAAATATTTGTGGAAGATAAAAAAGGAATTTAAAGACATAAC